CTCTCAGGTCCCTGGAATTTCCCTTAGGTTCCTTCCTCCTCCCCGAGATGGCCTGATAGAAGCAGGCAGAGGTGGCGGATGGTGGAAGAGAGCTCTGTTTTCCTCGAGTGTCCTGTGCGAGTCTAGCCCTTGGATGATTCCAGGGGACTGTCTGAACCCCTCTCTTATCCCCTTTCCCTCTGCTTCACCAGAAAGTCTTTCCAGCTTGTATCTCCAGAAGCTTTTCAATGCTTGGGCCTTTCGTGACCAGGAGGTGGCTAGGTCCATGGAAAAACCGGAGTTTTGGTTCGGCTTCATTTCTGATGGTGGTGGGACCTTGGGCGAATCACTTGTCCTTGCTATGTTGACCTGGACACTGCCCTATGCAGGCTAGCTCGATTCTCAACGGCCTCTTATCCGATTTGCCTTCTGCTACTTGCCCACTTCAATCTGGGCCCCCTCTCCCCATGCAAGCACGTTGTCACTTATCCACCTCTCCTTCAGTTACCCGCCAGAGCTTCCTGGCGCTCTGAGACACAGCAAAATCCCTGACCTCTCCAGGTTGGGTGGTCTCTTCCGGTGACCTCTCCAGGTTTGTCTCGTGCTTCCTTCCAGCCACGCCGGCCTTCTTTAACCAGCTGTGTGGCCTCGGGCAAGCCCCTTCCCCTCTCTGAACCTCAGTTTCCTCCTCTGTAAGACAGACATCATGAGAATCCCAACCAGTCTGCTTGTTCCGAGTGAGGATAAGAACCACTTCTACATGTCTTTCTGCTCCTGGAGGCCCTGCTGCTCCCAAAGTCACACATTCCACAGATCCTGATTCTCAATGAACCTTTTCTTCTGCAAAAGAACAGCCTGCTTTTATTCCAAGCTCTCTTATTCCAGAAGAATGCTTTTTCTCTCTAGTTATGTCTTAACCTAGGCCAACAGCGTCTACAAACGGAGAATGCGTTTATTTAAGCCATTTCCTTAATAGGGGTTGTGTTGTTGTGTTCATTGTCAACTGACACCATGTTTGTGGAACGAGAGGCATCGTCCTTTATCTCTGCCATCGCTCCCTCTGGGGAGGATGGCACACACGTATGAACAACGTGCCTTCTCACAGAGAGCCCTCCTTCAGCCGGATTTCCACAGAAATACTGTTCCAGGAAGAAAGGGTCTGACCCGAGGGATTAACTTGCTGAGGGATGTTCTCGGGTAACCCACCGATCGTTTTCTCAACACGTCTTCATTGATGGGTATGTATGATAGGAAAGATGATGGGCAAGCAGATAAGGACTATGATCCACAAGGCGCCTTCTAGGCACTCACAGCTGAACTGGGAGACTGAGCACCGTCACACCGCACGTGAGGTCTGTGGTCGTGCGGCAGAGGTGCAGAACACGGGGATTCTCAGTGGCCGAGAGGGCCAGAGAAGGCTTCGCTGGAGAGGCAAAGATTTAGAATTCTCATCACACCAGTTAGGGTTCAAAGGAGTTACTTTCCTTCCCCGGCACAATGACACGCACACACACACCACGTACACACAGACACACAACATGCACACACGCACACGCACGCACCGTTTGTCTAAGCGAATTAAGAAGACACGTGAGCTTGATCTGGAAAGCTTAAAAGATGGAGGTTGGGGGCCAGCCTGGTGGCGCAGCAGTTAAGTTCGCACGTTCCACTTCAGCAGCCCAGGGTTCACAGTTTTGGATCCCGGGTGCAGACCTACGCACTGCTCAACAAGCCGTGCTGTGGCAGGCGTCCCACATATAAAATAGAGGAAGATGGGCACGGATGTTAGCTCAGGGCCAGTCTTCCTCAGCAAAAGGAGGAGAATTGGCAGCAGATGTTACCTCAGGGATAATCTTCCTCAAAAAAAAAGAAGATGGAGGTTGAGTGGATGAGAAAATATTTTCAGAACATGGTCCTGGGGTGAGGCTTGTCAACATGAGAAAACAGACGCAGATGTACAATACTCAACCGTTTTCAAAGTATCCCGCCTGTGAATTATTCGCACAGTCCCATGAGGTCAGCACCTGGGGAAACTAAGTCTCAGAGACACACAGGCCACACGGGTAGGAGGTGGTAAAACTCAGAAGCCGGCACTCACGAGTGCAGTTCAGAGTGCTTTCCAACAGTTGAACATGTTTTTTTCTCTCCCTCCACCCACCATGGGACACAGGAATGAAGCATAGGCTGAGAAGTGGCCCAAAATGACTCAGGCTGGATGAAGTATGCAAGAGCTATGAGGAGAAGCTGGCGTTCTGACACAACACCCTAGTACAGCCTCGTGAATGTCCCAGGTCATCCCACACGCCCTGCCGTTCCTGCATCTGGACAGCATAGCTGAATGCAAGAAGGCTAGGGGTCAAGTTTGCCGGCAGAAAATTATTGCTCAAACGACTTAGTCTTTGTGCCTGAGAGCGTCACTGATGCCCTCCTGAGCCAGAGGCCCAAGCAGAGACAGAAATCATGTGGTCGGGGGAGTATCCGGGGAGGTGGTGGGGAGGGAGTGGACTGGATGTGTTTATGGCTCGTTTCCACCCTGACCAGTGAGGTCACCTGGGCTGGGATCCACATCGAGATAAATGCAGCAGAGCTGGAAAATTCCCAGGATGCTGAAACTCAGGACCCAGCTCCCGGAGGTGGGAGTGGGAGCTGGACAGGTCATCGTGGGCAGGAAACCTTCCTCCAGTGTCCTAGACCTGCTCTCAGGACAGAGAAACTGGCCATGGGGACGTTTATGTCTTATCTTTCTTACTCCCCCTTCCATCCTCCTCTACTTAATAATGCCTGTGGAGTGCCCATGGGCAGCATCCTGGGCTTTCTGAAGTACACGCAGATACAACACTGGCCCTGCCTTCAAGACCCTTGGCTGCTTGGGGAGACTGGGAAGTTTGTAAAACAGTGGTTTCCGAAACTCACTCTGTGATGGTTAATTTTATGTCAACTTGGCTGGGCCGCGGTGCCCAGATATGTGGTCAAATGTTACTCTAGATGTTCCTATGAGGGTGTTTTTGGATGAGAGTAACGTTTAAACCAATGGACTTTGAGTAAAGCAGCCTGCTCTGTCTAATGTGGGTGGGCCTCGTCCAATCAGTTGAAGGCCCAAATAGAAGCAAAAATTGACTTCCCCTGAGGAAGAAGGAATTCTGAAGCAGACAGCTTTCAGACTTAAACTGAAGCATCTGCTCTTCTCTGGCTCTCCAGCCTGCAGCTCCACCCTGTAGATTTTGGACCTGCCAGCCTCCATAATTACCTGAGCCTGTTCCTTAAGATAAATCTATATCTATGCCTATGTCTATATCTATATATCTTCTGGATAACCCTGACTAATACACCCTCCAATGTCCCATCCCCCACTCCCCCGGGTCCATGACTACAGCATCTCTTGCCTGAACCCCTCAAGGGTCTCCTAATGCCAGTATCTCTTTTCCCATCTTCCCTGTGGCCACCAGGGGTCTCTCCGTAACGCCTGTGACTGAGCACGTCCTTCTGCTTACAATCCTTCCATGGGCATCGTCTTCCCACCACTGTCTCCCGAACCTTAGGCCTCCCAGCACTGCCTTCATGATTTGTGGTCTATTAGACTTTCTCCTGGCTGAAACCAACAGGAATGAAGTATAACTGGGAAAGAACTAACTTCCCCACCGTGTTATTCAGTATCTCTCCATACAAAATCCACACCTTGAATGCCATCAGAGAAAGTATTCCGTCCCACATTTGGGGGAATGTTGGTTTACAGGATAAAATCCATTCTTCTTGGCATCGCTTTCTGGCTACTCTCCCAGCCACATGGAATAGTTAGTTCCCCAAACGCCAGGTACACCTGGAACACCTCTGAGAAGAATGCCTCTTCTCTTTGCTTCCTGGAGAACTCGCTCTTGAGCCTCAAAATCCGGCTGCCTTCTTTGTGGCGACTGTCCACCAGGTGCTTGCCCGCACTGTGCCAGGCCCGTGTGGGCATTTATCATTGTCACACTGCAAATATGTGAGTGCTTGTCTCCCCAGAGGTTAGAGGTCAAGGGGTGGGAGCACGTTTTATTCCTGTGAGGACTCTTCAAGGGGACCCCTCAGGAAATAGCATCTCTCTCCCCTGCCTGACCTCTGCACATGCTGAGGAATAAAACAAAAGAGAAGAAATGGAGAACAAACGGTCCACTTTTTTTATTTTTCAGATGATGGCTAAATGAGAACTTAGCTTTTGCGTGAGACCAAATGGTCCTGCTCAGTGAATCCAGAATTCGGCAGTCTGACCTGCCCTGCACAGGCCACTCGGGACCGGGCAGGCTCCCCCGTGACGGGAAGAGCCCAGCCCTGGAGAAGGCACCCAGGAACCTGCTCCCTGAAGCAGCTCCCCTCCGGGGGAAAGGGGGGCAGGCCGGGCCCTGCAGGCCAGGTGGTCTTCTTCCCGATGTTACCCATCAGGGGCGCCCCCTCCTCATCCCACCACAGAGTCAGGCAGATGTGTTTCACCCCCTGCTCGCAGATGGCGAATTCAAATGCCAGAAAACCAGAGGAATGAGATCTCAGAGATGAGCTCTCTTGACCAGCCCTCTCATTTTACAACAGGGAAACTGAGGCCCAGGGAGAAGTTCAAGTTCACCTAATCCACCTGAGCGGTCTGTAACTTTAATCTGTAATTTGTGTGACAGATACTATTAATTAATATTATTAAAAACAAGACAAAAGGCCCAAAATGGAGTCACTTATGCTAAGCCCCACATCACCAAATGGAAACTTGACTTAATTACAGTTTCGGCTCTCCCAGAAATGGAAGCTTAAACCAGTCAATCAGGAACCGCCTGTCAGCATGAGTCAGGTAAGTGGCCTGACGGACCCCTGCCCCCTGTCAAGGGAAGTGACCCCGCAATGAGCAACCTGCTTTTCTTCCTAGCATGACTTCCTTGTTCCCACTCCCCTCTGTGTATAAGAGTCTTTCATTTTGTACAGCTCCTCAGGGCTCCTTTCTGCCTGCTAGATTGGATGCTGCCTGACTCATGAATTGTTAAATAAAGCCAATAAAATTTTACAATTTATTCAGTGAATTTTCTTTTTTAACACTATTACGGCACAACTCCCAAGGGCAAGAAGAAGACAACTCTTGCCTCTCTCCCCTTCCCAGCATTACCAGAATTCCCAGGCCCATCCTGGAATGCCCGCTCACCTTGAACCCTGGGACCAGGGCGGAGGTGATGGTCTGCCCCTGGGATGTCTTGGCAAAGGGCTGTAATTGTGGATTCAGGAAACCCGGTCCTGGGCTAACTCAGTTCTCTCCACATAATTAAAAGAGGTAGAAATGAAACGTCAGGAGGAAACATGCACTTGATAAAACTTAAAGAGCCCTGTCCATTTTTGAATCCTCACTTTGCTTTCCTGCCTTAATTCTTGGCCACTGTAAATTATTTCAAAAAACGATTTTAGAAGAGAAAAGGAGCCAGGAGTGAAAGAAGCGCCTTTAACATTCCCCCTTTCTTTGGCATCATTTAGGATTTTAATTTTCAAGCATGGCAAGGAGGCAGAAATGGCTTCGGGCGGCAGAGGAGCAGCATCACGTTAAAATGAAGACAGATTTCTCTTTTTCCTTGAGGTCTTCTCCTAAAAAGTGCCTAAAAAATGAAGACCTCCCCCGGTGCTGATTAGAACAGAAGGCATTTCTAATTCCTCACGAATGGGAAGAGGAACTATCCCAAAGCAAGGACTAACTTGACTCAACGCTAAATCCACTACTTCAAGCTCCTGGGAGAAAAAAAAAAGCGCTGAAATTAACCCGTTGTTTGGGAAATATCCCCGAAATGCTTTTGTAACTTCATCACCAACTACTCAGGGGGAAATACTGCTCTTTAAGCCTCCCTTTTGCCCGAGAGTCCAGAGCTTCTAAACCAAGAAAGGAAGAAAGCAAGCGGGTTATTTACGAGCGCCTCCCTCTCGCAGTTTTAAGCCGCTGTGCACCGAGCCTGCTTGTCACCGCTCCGGGCCATCGCCGGGCGAGGCGACCGGCTCTGCGGGGCCCGGCGGGTCGGCCTTCCGCGTCCCCTAGCGGACGCGAGAGGTGGTGCGGCCCCGGCCACCCGCCGCAGAAAAGCGGGCCACCAGGAGACAGCGCCGCGTCCGCACGCTGTCGGCTGCACAGCCTCAGCGGCACCCCTGCTCGCCTTGTGTCCCCATCCAGCGACCAGTCAGGCTGTGAGCGAGGGGAGTCCAGCCACCAAGGCTCCAGAGTTGGAGACCTCAGCATAGTAGGCTGGGTGCCGCCTGGGGCCACCCCGACCTGGGCCGGGAGCGCACGCGTCTTTGCAGCCGTCCGCGACGGTGCAACTTCCCCAGGGAGCCGAGTTTAGGTCAGCCTGCGGGGCTCGGTGCAGGGAGCTGGGTCCTGCGCGAGGGTGGACGGCATGGCTGGGGCTGGTGGAGCCCCTGAGAGACGGTGGGGGGCCTCGCTCTCGTGGTTCCTGGAGGCGCGATTGGTGCTCCGAGAGACTGTAGAGTGGCTGCTCAGGAACAAGATGCGGAGCCCTTGACTGTCGGGGCCAAGACGCGCGTCGGGGCTGCTGGGCTGGGGAGGACCCCCGCGGGAAGATACGGGGAACAGCGGTCGAGGTCGGCCTCCAGGAGGGACCGCCGGACTGGGGCTCCAGGAGAGCAGCTGTTGTGGAAGTTCGGGGTGGGGGGCAGCTATGCATTTTAGAAACAGGAGGTTGGAGGGCGATGACCCTGGGCTAGGGTTTCCCAGGCAAGCGGCTGTTTGGGGATCTCCGGAGGAAGTAGTCGGAGTAAGGTTTACTAGGAGAGGTGGCTGGTTTGGAGGCCTCGCGGGAGGTGGCTGTGCTGAGGGTCCGGGGGGCGGAGAGTTACTTTGGGGATGCCTGGGGGAGGTGTCTGGCTTAGGAGTCCCAGTCCCGGAGGAAAGTGGCCGATTATGACCCTCCCCTCTCCTTCAGTGGAAGCGACTGAGTATCTCGAGGAACCGGCGGTCCGGGAGCTTCCCGCTCATTTCCAGCGGCTCTGAAGGAGGTACCTCAAACGGGGCTTTCCGGGGTGGCGGCTGAGCCCCTAGTCCTACAAGATTTGGGGTTCCTGGGAAGGGGACCACAGAGCCGCACGTGCGTCGGGAGAGAAACGCCAGGTCTTCTCAGGACCCTCGGGGTTTGTTTCAGGGCCCGACCCCGCAGGTCCGTCCGCGGAGTCGCCGGGAGTGTAACCCGAGGAGCCCCGCCCCGCCGCGCCCCGCCTTAAAGGTTCTCCGAGGCCAGGGGCGCACAGCGCCGGCCGCGGTCATGGAGGGCGCGCTCGCGGCCAACTGGAGCGCCGAGGCGGCCAACGGGAGCGCGGCGCCGCCGGGGGCCGAGGGCAACCGCACCGCCGGGCCGCCGCAGCGCAACGAGGCCCTGGCGCGCGTGGAGGTGGCCGTGCTGTGCCTCATCCTCTTCCTGGCGCTGAGCGGCAACGCGTGTGTGCTGCTGGCGCTGCGCACCACGCGCCACAAGCACTCGCGCCTCTTCTTCTTCATGAAGCACTTGAGCATCGCCGACCTGGTGGTGGCCGTGTTCCAGGTGCTGCCGCAGCTGCTGTGGGACATCACCTTCCGCTTCTACGGGCCCGACCTGCTGTGCCGCCTGGTCAAGTACCTGCAGGTGGTGGGCATGTTCGCCTCCACCTACCTGCTGCTGCTCATGTCCCTCGACCGCTGCCTGGCCATCTGCCAGCCGCTGCGCGTGCTGCGCCGCCGCGTGGACCGCCTGGCCGTGCTCGCCACGTGGCTGGGCTGCCTGGTGGCCAGCGCACCGCAGGTGCACATCTTCTCGCTGCGCGAGGTGGCCGAGGGCGTCTTTGACTGCTGGGCTGTCTTCATCCAGCCCTGGGGGCCCAAGGCCTACGTCACGTGGATCACGCTGTCCGTCTACATCGTGCCGGTCATCGTGCTCGCCGCCTGCTACGGCCTCATCAGCTTCAAGATCTGGCAGAACTTGCGGCTCAAGACGGCGGCGGCGGCCGCTGAGGGGCCCGAGGGCGCGTCGGCTGGCAGCGGGGGGCACGCGGCTATGGCCCGCGTCAGCAGCGTCAAGCTCATCTCCAAGGCCAAGATCCGCACGGTCAAGATGACCTTCATCATCGTGCTGGCCTTCATCGTGTGCTGGACGCCATTCTTCTTCGTGCAGATGTGGAGCGTCTGGGACCCCAACGCGCCCAAGGAAGGTAGTGCTGGCGGGGAACCCCCGAGGAGGGAGGGGGCGGGGAGACGCCCGGGTCCTGCTGCCGCCGCACGTCTGCGGATCAGGGGGCCTTCCGGGGGAGAAGCGGGCTTTGGAGTCCTGCAGGGCTGGGTTGGAGTCTTGGCTCCATCATCCCCCCGGCTAAGTGATTTTGAGCGTCACCTCCCTGAGCCTCCAATTCCTCTTGTAAAGTGGCAATAATGATAAAAGTATCAGTTCTCACCAGGCGGTAGGGGAACCAAATGAGAAAACGCACGGAAAGTATTAGCACAGTCCTTGGGCTACATGGGGTGTGTGATTCTTTACTATGGACGGGAAACAAGTTCAAGTGACTCGCCGTCTCCGTGGTTCGCGAGTAGTGGGCGTACCTTTCAAACCCGGGCCCCAGCTCAGCTCCTTCCGCTTTAAGTTCAAGTCGGCCTGAACCCGCGGGGTCTGGTTTGGATAGGGGCAGCGGGAGGTGGGCGATTCCATTGTCTAACCAAGAGCTGAGAAGGTGCTGGGAGGGGCGCCCTGGGGATATGAAGACAGTCTCCGAACCCGCTCGCCTAGTGGAGAGGTGAGTGCCCCAGGTGGTGGCGGGCAGGCGCGGGGGCTGGGGGTGCCCCGGGACCGGAGACGTCGCTCCTGCGGAGGGGTGGGGGGTAGGGGCCGGTAAGGGAAGGGAGGCGAGATGCAAACTTTCCGCTTTGCCGCGGGAGGCTGGGGGATTTCTGTGGGCGGGGGACGCGGCCTCCAGATGGAAGGACTGCGGAGTCAGGGTGAGGATGGCCAGGGGCCAGTTGTCAGAGTCGGGAGACCAGGGGAAGAGGACAGAAGGGGCGATCTGTGAGGAGGGAGCTTGAGGGAGCAGAGAGCGCCTTGGGCTCCGGCGCTTGTGGCCAGCCCGGGGCTGGGAGCTCCAGGCCGATTCGCCTCCATTGCCCACAATTCCAGCAGCTCCCTTGCAAAGAGCGGGAGGGCCGATCCGCGGTGGTGAATGACGGACACCTCTGGGTTGCCGCGAGCACGGAGCACTGCAGTGGGGTGCAAGCGACTCGGATGCTTGTAAGAAAAGGCCAGGGGTTTGCTTTTCCCTTCCTGCCCCGAGACAGCACAAATCTCCCTTTATGGATGTCATCGCTACTGCTCCCAACAGTCTCAACCACCACCGTCCCCTGGAGGCTGAAATCGCCTTCGTTCAGCTGGGTAACTTTGCTTTGCTCTCTTCCAGAAACCGCAGACTCCTGGCTTTATCCTGCCCTCCCAATTAGTCTAGTATTTGCCTTAGTGGCCTGGGCGATTATCATTCCACATTTATTGAGCACCTGTGGTGTGCTGGCCCTGGTGGGGTCATTCGGCGTGAGGATCGCTGTGAAGACTCAAGGATAGCCAGCCTGGCTTCCTGGTGCAGCCACTAGTCACACTTTGCAGGGGGGGCGGTTCAGGGGTTCAGAGAGGGTAAGGCACTTGCTCTAGATCACACAGCAAATTGGAGGCTGCCTAGAGCTGGGGTTTCCTGCCCTGCCTACTCTCCCCCACAGCTGTTTCTTCCTGCTCCATCAGGCCACACCGGTTTCCTGGGCAGGATCCTAAGAGATACTGGACCAGGTATTGAGGTGCTCAAACGCCAGCCCTTGAGGAAGTGAGACCGACACCCCCTTAGAGCAGATACTGGGGGGACCTGGGATGTAGTTCTCCATCCGGCCCTTACTAGCTGTGGGACTTTGGGTGAGGGGTCCCCTTCTCCCCCTTGACCCTCTGTGCCGTACTTCTAGAACGAGGACATCAGAGTGTTCAGCTCATCCATCCTGCAGCTCTTCTGACTCCTTGCCCCCTGCTATCCCCACGCCCCTCCCATTCATTTTTCTCTGGTGATTTTTCTCCCTCCTCCCTTCCCCCACCCCTCCTCGTATGACTTCCTGTTGTCCACCCCCTTGTCTGCTCTCCTCCTTCTCACTTTGCTCCCTAAAGAACAAAGAACGAGCACCTATGATCAACTCACACGGTGTAATCACCGAGTGAAGTTTTGATCTTTTCCACGCTTTAAAAGTACATCAAACATTGATTTTTACGTCTTAAAAATAAGACACAGGAAGAGAGTGAGCGAGAGGCAGCTCCCACCTAAAGTGGGGCCCAAGGCCTTTGGGTACGTGTGGCTTTCCCAGGGTGAGAGGATTTCCCGGGTGAGGGTTTGTGGAGACCGGCTCCTGCTCGGGCTCTGGGAGCGGGGAAAGAGCCTCAGGTCCCATATTCCCTTTGCTTCTTTCCCGGTTAGAGGAAAAGGTGGGTGTTGCTTGAACACCCAGGTCACCTGGTTCTCCTGGACGTTCTGTCCTGGGTGTTCTGAGTGCAGATGCAGACATAAGGGGCCTTGTGACCCACTGCTGCCAGCACCCTCCTCCCCCTCGTGCTTCCAGGAGCCGTGCCCAGTCCACGTGAGAGGCCCATCGAGCACAGAGGACATGGGCTCGGGCCACCAGCCTGGCCAAGTCATGCCTCAGGGCTGCGGGGGTCCAAGCGGACGTGGGCTCAGCCAGAACACACACCCTGTGCCTGCTTGGCATTAATTTGGATAATTGCAAGAAGCAGCCTGGGCCATCAGAAACAATGGTGTTTACGATCACCCAGGAGACATGACTCAATCTAGAGGCTAGGAAGGAAGAAAAGAGAGACATGCTCCAGCGACTGAGAGGTTTTGATCATCGAAGTGGAATTAATGCACAGCCCTGGCTTTCCTCTCCCAGAGAAGGGGAATTCACGAGAGATGCAAAATTTCTAGATCAGGGCCCCTTGCTCTGCTCATCTCCTGTGGAGCAGAGCCTGGAAGTTCAAGGAGCCCTTTGGGAACAGCGTGACATTCTTCAGGGAAGCCCAGGGGCAGAAAGGCTGAGGTAGAGGCAGGATTGGGGCAGCCGTGTGGTCTGTTCCTGCCTGTAGCTTCCTGGTGAAACCTCTGGAAGACAAGGAGCTACTTAGCCACGGGCTACAGATCTGGGCTGACGTGTGGATGGAGGCGTCTCCTTGCCTTGGCTAGTGGCCTCGTGGCCCCCCCTGGACTCTGAGTCCCTGCCTCCATTAAGGTTCCCTCTCTCTGACGTTCTCTCGAAAGCCACATGCTCCTTTTCCATCTCTCTCCTTGACCGACCTCTTCCGCCCGCACAGCTGCACTCATCAAGCGCCGCCTTATGGATTTAGGGCTCACCTTGATCCAGAACACTTTGAGGTGGGGCACCGAGATTCAGCTACTGTGGCACGATAAAGGGGCTGTAAGGAAAGGGATGAGGGGAAAGGATAGGGAAATTAGAATATTATCGTAACAGTGATAACAAAGGCACTGGGTGCAGAGGTGAGCCGCACGTGGGGCTTCCTTTTCATCAGAGCCAAAGAGGAAAGCTCTCGATTTCATTATTTCCATTGTTCAGAAGAAAAAACAATGAGAGAAGAGAAGGGGAAGACGAGGTCGTGGTAATTTAAGGAGCTCCCCCTCAGGAGCAGCCCCAAGCTGCTGAGCCTGGTTTGGTGGGACTGGAGACCGAGGGCAGACGCCCTGGCAGGTTTTGACGAGCCCCGAACGTATCCTTCAGAACCAGAGTCCGCAGCCACAGCCTCGGCACCAGCCTCCCCTGGAACTCGGTGGGATTCGCTTTGCTGCTGGTCCCAAGGACTCCGACCCTGGGGTGCTTCTGAGGGAGCAGGTGAGGATGACATGGTGTGACCTGTGGCACCTAGGGGCCACGTGACTAATGTCATTCTTCCCCTCCCCCGCCCCCTTCTGCTTGTTAAAAGTTCTGTTTGCATTCTTGGGGTTGACTTTGAGCATCTTGGCAGTTATTCCTGAGGGAGGAGGTGGACATTTTTCTCTCGAGAGCCTGGGTGGCGGGGGATGAGGTGGAAGGGGAGCCTGCTGGACAATGGGCAGTGTGTCCCAGGAGGTGAGTGTATGGAGGGGAAACTTGCTAAGCCAGGGAGGCAGATGAGCCTTGTCAGAACAGGGATGCCACCTCTCTTGTTCACTGGCCTGTGCCCGGGCCTAGCCCAGGGCCGGGCACCCTTTAGGAGCTCAACCAATGCTTGTTGAGCAAATACATGGGATCTGGTGAAGAAGTGAGCACCCCATCACTGGGGGCAATCAAACATCTGTGGGGGTGTTGTAGCAGGAGGAAGGTTGAAAGACATTGCAGGCCTAGTTTTAAGTATTTCCTCATCTGAAAATGAGCTCCCCAGTCCCTCCCAGTTTCTTTGGAACTATGGCCTCTCCAGTGTGGTCTACCCACCTTGCCTTTCCAAGGACCCCATGCCCAAGGTTTGGGCGGGCCGGGCACCTTGGAGGGGCCTGCTCTTCTGGTGACCCATTGATATGGAGAGCTGTGGGGGCAGGTGCGCCTGAGAAGATTGAGCAGACGTTCTTGGCCAGGAAAAGCTCTCAAGCTTGGCCTTTCTGGGTATAAATTGCAATTAGGCCGACAGTTAACCAACCACCATACTCTTGTCTGATTGAGCAATTGGGAGTTCTTTTATGTTCTTGGCTCATGTAATGTTTTCCCGTTGAGTTTCTGCCCCAAGGTGACTTTACTTTTTTTGTCCCCACCCAAAGTTTTGGTTAATAATAGCACAAAAAAATCTGTTGAGTGAGGCTTTGCTACATGCTTTTCCCCATCTGATGGATATCTGGCTGGGTGGGGAGGTGGGACAAGGGGTGTGGGGAGGCCTTGGGTCTGGAGGAGAGCAGCGTGGAAAAGGCCTGCCCCTGGCGGCGTCCAGCTCCCTGGGAGGCGGGGCTGGGCCTGGGCTGTCTGTCAGCTGCCTGAGGGGCTGACCCCACCACCTTGCACTGGAAACTGTTGGAAGTGGAGGGAACCCGGCAAGCTCTCTCCCAGGGGCTGGGGCCGGGTGGGGGCTGAACTGTGCTCTGGCAGGCCCCCAACATCAAGCCCCGGGGAGATGTGCTGGGAGGTGGTGAGAGTTCCCGTCACAGACTGGTCTCCTTGCCATCTGTGTGGT